AAACGCATGCCCCCATCACCAAAAAAAAAAATAAAAAATTCTCGGGTATTACGTATCCTGAAAAGTGACATTATGTCGATTTTTTTGACATTGTATTGTTTTTTGTTACATTATGTAGGTTTTTCCACAAATTGTTAACTTGGCATTAGCTGATGGACACGTTGTGAACTCGTTTTGTAGCTGTACGTGTTGCCTATACGTCACGGGGCTTTATTTTTCAATGTTTGGCTCTCAGAAATGACACAACGCGGGCGTGGTGATGATTTCCCCAAATTCTCATCAAAGTTTTTGAAACCACAAAATCGTAAAAAATCGTAATTTATAACTTTAAACATAGAAAGGACAACATATAACTAACCCGTCGGGCACAGCTAATAGATATACAGGGTGGCGCATCGAAAACGAAATAGATGCATTTACTGGCAGCCCGTCGATTTTGTTTTCGAGGGGACACAAGTTTGGTAAAAAATCACGTTAGCACGTGCAACCCCCTAAGCGGGGGTGACACCACCCCTAAAATCTTAAATGGAAAGGGGGGTCGAGTGATACCTTATTTAAAGGTATTTCAATTCCCTTTATAATGAATATAAAATTAATGTACTTCAGTTCATTAGTTTTGAAGATTTATTGATTTAAAGCTTAAATAAAACTAATACATCATCATTAGTGGAGATCAATACATTAGGAAGCAAAGTAATTTAAAAATGAAAAATGAACTGACCCGTTAGGCAGGTAAATGTTGAAAATGGCCACCGTGACTCTCCAAGCAATAAGCTCAAAACGTTGACGCACATTTTGCAATATTTGAGGAGTAATTTGAAGACACCCATTCACAATTCTTTGTCGCAGGTCTTCTAATGATGTTGGGTGAGTAGCATAGATTTTGCTTTTAAATGATCCCACATAAAGAAATCCAAAGGTGATAAATCTGGCGATCTTGGGGGCCATTCAATGGCACCTCTTCTACCAATCCATCGATCTGGAAACGTCTGATCTAAATATTGTCGAACACGTAATGCGTAATGTGGTGGGGCACCATCCTGTTGGAACATCAACCTATTCGCAATGTACCGCCAATCATTCTGATTTTCAATTATGGCTGTTAATGCAGGATCTATGGCGTCTTCCAGTAATTCCAAATACATTTCACAGGTCAAATTTCCAGGCAAGAAAAAAGGACCAACTAAATGATCGCAAAAAATACCAGCCCAGACATTCAATTTTTGTGGCTGCTGTGTATGAACCTCATGAAAAATTCTGGGATTAGAATCGGCAGTTATGACGATTTACTATGCCATTTAAGAAAAAGGAACATTCGTCGAAGAAGCAAGTGTTGAATAGAAAATGTTCATCGCTTATAATTCGTTCACTCATATCTTCACAAAATTGTAATCGCCGATCAAAGTCGTCTTCATTAAGTTCTTGTACCAGGTGAATTTTATACGGTTGAAAACTATGGGCCTTTAGAATCCGTTGGACAGTACGTCGACAGCACCACACAGTCTCCAATTTGCGGCTACTTAACGTAGGATCTACATAAACTACTAAACTACTAAAACCTCCACTTCTATTGCTTCGTTCCTTATGGGATTTTCAATGTTGCGTTTTTTATTAGCGTCTGACCCAGTTTCCCGAAATTCTAGAACATATTTTCGATGCACGTTACTGTTCTCATGTCGCTCATTAAATATTTCTGCTGTTCTATTAGCGCACTGATTATTTCCGAAAAATGTTTCGATAATTTCAACTCTTTCTGCTGTGGAACATACCATGGTTAATTTGTGTGATAAGGCGTTACAAGTTATTTTAGCAACAAAGTTTGGTCAAATCAATCGCAAACTATGTACTAAATTCCTATTTAAAATAAGTATGAGATATTTCCTTATCTTTCTGCAAGAAATAACTTTTTTGCCACAAAAAAAAAACGCTCCAATAGCTATTTTCAACAACAAAATGATAAGCAAACCATGGGCGTAGTGAAGAAAAGCATTACTTATCAAGTAAATTCTTTTAGTCAAATTTCTTCTGAAAGTAGTACCAACTAATCTGATGTACCTATTAAAGTATACTTTAAGCTTTAAATCAAAAAATCTTCAAAACTACTGAACTGAAGCTCATGTATTTTATATCATTATAAAGGGAATTGAAAGACCTTTAAAATAAGGTATCACTCGACCCCCCTTTCCATTTAAGATTTTAGGGTTGGTGTCACCCCCGCCCAGGGGGCTGCACGTGTTAACGTGATTTTTTACCAAACTTGTGTCTCCCTCGATAACAAAATCGACGGGTCTGAGCGTTTTTCCAAAAAAAAAATGAGCTGCCAGTAAATGCGTCTGCTTCGTTTTCGATGCGTCACCCTGTATGTATTTCATTGGCAGCAGATTCATGATTTTCTCACACAGCAGATACATATCACTGATTTTATACACATGCAGACCGATACATAGAATCATCCAGATGCGATCTTCTCAGAGATGAAAACTACAGACTACTCGACTTCTCAAAACATATGCAACCAACAATGCGTGTAGTTGAGCCATTCCTCCATAGATGGACGGTCATAACGATCCTAGTGAGCAAACATGGAATGACTGTTTGCACCCTAAGAACCACCTAGTCTGCAAGATGACATTTTAAGGTCGATTCTCACTATACATTCCGTTTCCATTCCATATCAGTTTCGTAAACGTTCCGTACAATGTGATTGTATACACAGATAATGTGCATACACACGCAATAGCCTGCTTTAAGCGAAGGCGAATATTTAATTTCAATGATTTACGGAACGGTTGCGGAGTGGAAACGGAATGTATAATGAGAATCAACCTTTATAGGTTTTTTTGACGTTTTATAGGTTTTTTACATAATACCCGTGCCGCGTAGATCCTAGCGTAAAATTGACGATCTGACGATTTGAAACCTACTAATCCGATTGACCCAGGGAAGGAGTTTTCGTTCTGACCACAGATATACAGTGTGTCTCGAATTTTTCCTTACACAGTCGGGCCCCTATTACCCGGGGGCCCCGTATCATTGATGCCACGCCCCTGACTCAATGCCTGCGTGTATAGTGCTGCCACCAGCAGAGCTGTGGATCGGATTGATCTAACAGAATAGGAGGTCGTATGTAATGACAAGGCTGATCCTTGGAGGATTTCGAAAAAAAATGTAATCGGAAAGCAGAAAATGTCATAAGACTTTATAGGAAAAACTTTTGGTTGTCGCCTTCCGTTGTTAGTTATAGGCGGATGACACTTTGTACAGGTAGGTAATTTGAGCCGTTGAATACTAATATGAGCTTTAAAAAAATCATTTCCTGCACTGAGGTCATATTTGAGTTAGAATCTGCCCATCTGCTGTGCCCTGAAAGCGAGCCATCGTCCAATTCACAAAAAGGAGTTTTTGAATATATTTTACATGAAGCATGAAAATGCGAGCCCCTTCCCACTTCAGTTGGCCCACTTCAAGATTTGTACCAAAATATGCCTTTATAAACTAAACATGACGAAAAAATTTATTTCTAAAACAATTTATTTTCTCAAAAACATTTTAGATACATTCTAGTCGTAAAAAATACATATTTGAAATCACTTAGACCTATAACTAATAGAACATCTGAACAAATAAACAATGTGCGAATAAATGCGCGAAGTTAACAAAGCAACAATTGAAAGATTACCATTGGGTAACATCACCTTTATTTTTTATTACGGCTGAAATTCTTTGGGGCATAGTGTTAACCAAGTTTTGGCAAAAATTTTTGTCGTAGAACCTTTTTCATCTCGTGCCACAAAGTTTCAATAGGTGACAGATCAGGACTGCTAGAAACAAATTTCAAAAGTAGTACATTATTTTCTTCCATCCATTTTATAGCCTTTTTTGCGGTATGACACGCTGCACCATCTTGCTGAAACACAAAATTTTGGCCGGATGTCAAACATTGTTCCATCACTGGTAAAAGCGATTCTTCTAAAATCTCCAATATTTGTTTGTATCCACATTTCCATCAATAAAATAAAGTTTTCCTACTCCTTTTGATGACATACTGCCCCAGACCATAATGGATGCTGGAAATTTCACTTTCCTCTTTAGACAGTCAACATGGAATACTTCATTTTTTTTGTGAATAACTCTACTGCGAGTATCACCAACACAAACTTCGAATCGAGCCTCATCACTCCATTGTATTGCACACCATCGTTGAGGTGTCCATTGTCTATGTTCTTTAGCCCATCTAAGCCGATTTTTCTTTTGCATTGGAGTTAATAGTGGCTTTTCTTTGGTCTATAAACAAGTTGTGCAACTTTAGGGTTTTTACTTAACTTTTTTTTATAAGAAAACTTACCTTGCAAGTGCTAAATCCCAGTTTGTGGGCCTCTATGAGTTGTGGACCTCGAAATTCTAATTCCAACAGCGTCACTCCACAGAGCACTTAATTGTAAATAATATATAATATATAATAATAACATATCGTGGGTTAATATTAACTGAACCAGTTACGTTATATCTTCTAACAATATTTCTCACACTGTACCGCGATAAGTCTAACAAAGTTGCAATATCTGAGTTTGATTTCCCAGAATTAAAAAATTTAATTACCAGTAACTGAATTTTCTCACTAATAACCTTTCCTCTACCCATTTTGAAAACCTTAACTACCCAAAACTATCTTAAACGTATTCTGACAGCTGTGATTAATAAAAACAATTGTTATGGCTTTTTTTTCACAGCCACCTATGCGTTATAGACTTATTTTGCATTGAAATGAAAATAGGTTGATATGCTTAATTGCAACATGTGTTATTTTTATGCTGCAAATTTGATTAGGGAGTGATAAAGTTGGTGTTTTCTACTATATATTATCAAAATATTCATTGTTAATATTTTAAACCTATAACACCCTGCTACATTTTTATTAAAACTAAGATTTCAATAGTTGGGCCAACTGAAGTGGGAAGGGCCTCGTAGTATAGGAAATGCAATGACAAACAAAACGCAAAATTAGTGTGTGCTTTTTTATTAACAATTTTTTGAACATTTCAACAATAAATACTTTTCTGCATAGCTACACTATAGCTGTGACCTGCATGCTATATTAACAACAAGTATAGTCAGTATTGGAAAAAACAACAATGGTTAATATTTTGCATCATTGAAGAAAACAGCGGCTTTATTTCCATGACAGCTTCTTCAGCCATGGCCTGCTAGTATAGGTCCTGGAGCCATAACTATAGGGATGCGTCTGTCGGTGCTGATCTTCCAGGGCACCCACACACCCTTCTTGGGAGCTGTGACAGTCAGGAAACCATCTGAGGAGAGTCTGCTTTCCACTCTGTTGTTATCGTACTCGTAGGGCAAGTAATACCTGTTTGATTTATGCGCATCAGTAGAGAAATTAAATTAATCTTTAAAAGCATTGGTATTGAAAATTAAAAAAAAAAATGTTTTCCATAATCCTATATAATGTAAAGATATGATCAACCCCTCCTCTTTCTCCACTCCTCAACAGGTATACTAATGTTCTAGCTTTACATTTCCAACGCTCTGAAACCGACTGAGCATGCGTAGCGGAGAAAACATGTTCAAAGGCAAAACCTAGTTGAGAATGATTAGTCCGCTGTTTCAGCAAACCAATTTTTGGCTTGAAAACTGGTTTCAAAACAGTATACAGGATTTTGGCGGGACTCGAAAGTTTCTGACATGCGCAGACCGCACAAGATCTTATTTTGTTATGGGGGTGATATGAGGTTATGGTTTTTGAATTGTTGGAGATTATAATGAATGCAAGATCTCTCCTTTCCTCCATGAACTGGACCTTTTTCCTCAACTTCTTATCGTGGCATTCAGTATTTCGCGTGATGAATACTGTGCAGCTTCAAATGCAAAAGAAAGAAATAGACTTGATGATGGCTCAAAGGTGCATTGCAGCAGCATTAAAAAATTAAAAGATTTGAGGAGCGAAAGCACATACGATAATTTTGTTCTGAAGGCTAAGAATAAATGGCAAGAGTTGGAATGGGAAAATCCTTATTTCCTTCCATTGTCAGAAGAGGGAAATCAAAAAAAATGTTCAACGAAAAAGCTGCTGACTGCCACTGGAAACACAAAAAACATCGAATAAATTACCACGAAGTTTTGGATTCAATGAGTAACGAATTGCAAGAAAGTACTGAAGGATTTCGTGAAGTGAATGATGTGTTTGGTTTTTGATGCCAGATTGTATTAGTCAATATAAAGAAAACACATCAGAAACCAGCGCCACTGATTTGATGGAAAAATATTTGGAATCTTTCACTACAGATCTAAAATATGAATCAGCCAGTTTTACGACCATGTATTTTTCGGAAAATCGTAATTTTACTAATGACAGCCTGTAACGGTTTCACAGTCCGATTGTATATTTATTAAATCATTATCGATTATCATTTCAGAATCGCAAGTCATTAATCCCATCTCTAGCTTTTTTACTTGGAAACATTTCCGCTTGGAGCGCGCTTGATGCGGAGTTCCTGATCTGCGATCTTCCTCGCGCTTCCTTTTCACTTGAGCCGCCGACCTAACAAGAGCTAAGAATTTTGTTCTCTGTAGCATGAGGTCATATGCACCATGTTCTAGAATTTTGTAAAATGTGTGTCCAAATAGGATAAAATGATTGGGGCCACCCCCTTCCCTTTCCCTTTGCCTTCGACTTTGCCTTTGTCTTTGACTTTGCCTTTGCCTTTGTCTTTGACTTTGCATTGCTTGGCCTATCACTTCACCCATGCATGTGCCTTGGGAGCGCCATCACCTTTAAGTTCAACTTCGCCTACATCTAGTTTTGAAGCCACTAAATGTGAGGTCACCCCTCATAACTGGGACCTCCACTTCAAGCAACCTGGCCATCCTCGCTTCAGTCCAGTCCAAAATGGACCAGCTTAGCGAAAGATAAGTGATAGTTTGTGTAACAGCGCCAAAGATTTGAAACTTATTTTGTTCTTTAAAATTTGAATTTCAAATGTAATGAAAGTGCTTTTCAAGTTAAATAAAATCTGTTAAATTTTTGTGTTCTGTTTGTTCTTCTATCCTCTAGCCATGCCATGGTCGACATACAGCTACACGCCTGTAGATGTCTTCATGCCACCGACTGAGCTACCGGAAGCTAATGGTAACCCCCTTTCTGTGATTGTGCAGAAAAGTTGGAATCTTCATTGCATTCCATCTTTTCTGGACTTTTTGCGGAAAGGAAGGCTTACAAGCCCGCTAGATTATTTGAAGTTCATGATTGCAAACAATTTTGTAGACAGTTTTCTATAAATAGCGTGCACTCCAAATTTGACTCTATTATGCACAAGAAGTTTGCTGGTAAATCATCAAATGAAGTAAATACTTAAAAAAATTACGATGCGCATTACCCCTGTCCCGTGCCAGTGCGCACTATTAAATGCAAAAACCAGGTTGGTAATTTTGCTATTAATTTCTGAGTTATCATGCAACTTTCAAAGTTTCCATTGCCGTATTTTACGGGGCTGTGTTCTTAAAGACGATCGATAGACAGTTAGACTGATAGCTGGATGAACTGTCAGTACGCAAAACAATCGTCCACGAAATTTTGACAGAAAAACTTGGAATGAAAAAATTGTGCGCGAAAATCCATCCGAAGCTCTAGACTCTAGAATAGAAAGCAAGGAGGGTTGCTTGCTGTGAGGATTGGTTGTAAGCAGAGGAAAGGGGTGACTTTCTCAAACGAATCATCACTGGAGACGAGTCTTGGTTCTACGAATTCGATGAAGCTGAAGCATGGAGTGGAAGCAAGCAGGGGAACCGAGAACAGAAAAGTCGAAAAAATTAAGGTCCAATGTGAAAACAATGTTGATTGTTTTCTTTGATTCTCGGGGCATTGTTCGCCAGGAAATTTGTCCCTCCCGGCCAGACAGTGAACGGAAATTTCTGCATTGAAGCAGCTGCTGGTATTGACGTATACGATTTTGTTATGGCTAATTCAAGGGCTTAAATTTCTTGATAAATAGAGCAATACCTCTTCAAGAAGTGTTTGTAAGCCGCGTTACGTTCACGACGGTACTCGTCTTGCTTCTCGCGGGCCTCCTCGTGTTTGCCTTCCACAGTGATGACGTTGTCGTCTACTCTGACATCGATGTCTTCGGGCTTGAAGTCCTGCACATCGATGGTGGCTTGGAATTGGTCGTTGTCGTACCTAAAAACATTAAAACATATTCATTACTTGATGACAGTAAAGCTTTTGGTGCGTCTCGATTATTCGTACAATATTCGATTCGAGATCTATGCGTCTGATTTTCCCAGGTAACAGTGCTGCTTCCAGATATGCAATCATTTTGGCATTCAATTCAATTGAGCTTATAGTAACAAATACATACAGTACCACAGTTAAAAATGGCAAAGTCTGGCCAATGGCCATCCATACTTAACCATGACTAGCTTATTGCTACCTTAACACCAAAACTTAGCCTGAAGGAACATAATCAGTAATAGAACAAATGTTACCGCCTAGTCAGAATTTGTACCAATCCTGAAGTTCCACGGGAGAGAGAATACAAAAGTAAACAAAAAAAAAAATAAGAATCATTAAGCAGATCTTATAGTTTTTTTGAATAGTTACATTATTGAATTAATCAACTTTAACGCATTGCACGTGGAAGATCATTGAAATATGACTGTCCTGTATTGTGGCAATGTAAGGAAATGGTTGTTGCTCGTATCAAATTGTGGTAAGAGGTTTTTAATATTTTGATGAGAATGTGACAAAATTGTATTTGAACATATGGATATCTTTAACCAATAATTGGAGGCTATTGAGTGAGAAACGTGATCGTACCTTCTCAAATTGTTTATACAGGGTGTAAACGTTATGGTAGTCATTATTGAAATGGGTAATAGGGGTGGTCAAAACAAGTCAAAGGTTCATATGATCCATGGTCCAAAAGCCAATAGATGTTTGTCCAAATGGCTTTATAGTTAACAACTTAAGTGCTTTATATCGACCACAATCACCACAATCTTACTAATTTTTATAATCTAATCTAAAACGTTGTTAAATTGGGTAATTAACAAATAAATGGCATTAAGCCTTTCTAAGTTAAGCCAAAATTTGTGGTCAGTAAGTAAGTTTCATTAAATTGAATATTTAAAACACACATGACCACAGCGCGTCGGTCATCATCACTCTTATCGAAGCGGCAATCTATCGCAAACGGTAACAGTGATTAGTATGCTGTTTTGTTTTTTGTTCGCGTACGACGTTGTATTGATTCACAATGTTCTCGAATCAAGAGTTCGCCGACGAATGTTGTTAGTTTACGGTGAAGCTTGTCAGAATTCAAATTCATCGCTACAGATTTCGCCAACGGGTACACCCAGACAAAAGGACATTTGTGCAAGTGTACCAAAGACTTCGAGATACAGGAAGAAGTGTTAAGCCCTCTAATATTCGCACTCGGGAAAGACAGGTTACTGTAGAGCTGAAGGAACAAATTTTAAATATCGCATATCATAGAATCCTACGGGAAAATTTGCTTTAACCCTACCATGTACAACGAGTGCAGGTCTTGTTATCAGAATACTATCCTCGCAGACTAACATTCTGTCAGTGGTTTTTGCACAGAAACATTGAAAATCCGGATTTTTTTAAAACCATTCTAGCGACGGACGAATGTATTAAATTTCCATAATACTCACACGTGGGCCCAAGAAAATCCTCATACCATTCGTGAACGTCATTTCCAACAACGTTTTAAATTTTAAAATAAATATTTGGGCGGGTATTCTTGACGATCAGGTAATTGGCCCTTAGGAGTTACCCCCAAAGTTGTCAGGAGAGGAATACCTTAGCTTCCTAGCCAATAACCTACCAGAACTTTTGGACCTTACACAACATGCCATTACAACGGAGACAGAATTTGTGGTTTCTTCATGACGGGGCACCACCACGCACTTTTAGAGGCGTCATTCAGTATTTGATTATCCAAATCGCTGGTTCGGTCGAAATGCTCCTGATCCTCGAAAATGGCCAGCAAAATCTCCTGGCCTTAATCCGATCGATTTCTGGTATTGGTGAGAACTT